GTGTGTGTGTGTGTGTGTGTGTGTGTGTGTGTGTGTGTGTGTGTGTGCATGCGCGCGCGTGTTTATGTGTGTGTGAATTTTATTGTTATGGCTATAGTATCGCAGAGAATACTTTCACTTTCGATACGTTATCGACATCATTATTCGCAACATTTACGCTGATTAATCTAAGAACCTGTAACCAACACCTGTATGCGCCTAAACGAACTCTCTCTTTTTTCACTCGTTATCATCCTGCTTGATCTTCACCTATTCACAGCGGGACGATTTTAGTCGGGAGGAAGCATAATAGATTTGTATAAATCCTACTTATATACCGCCACGGGTTTTTTTGCATAATGGTATACGCAGGTACACCCGGCGACCGGGTGCTCTGTGATCGCTGAGCGGCGTGCGTGGTGCGTGACATATTAAACGCTGCGACCATGCCTACATACGCGCCGTGCATTATCATGCCTAGCAAACACGCCTCTGATGTAGTAATTGATCGCCATACGTGCGGTAGGCTAGGGTTAAGCATTGTGTTCGCGCGGGTATATATGCTGTGTTATTTTAAATCTCAGCGCGTCGGAATTCCGTCGGACATTTTTTTTACAGGGGGCGCCCGCGAGTTCTCTATAGACGCGTACACGTATCGCGTTGCACAATGGCCACTCATCTAATAAAAGAATTTATAATTCCAATAAATCACAGACGCTAATCCGTGATAATACCCTATCAGCGCTCTTACGAGCGCGAATAAAAAACGACGCCTATATAAAATAGGCCACGGTAAAGGCCGGCCGCCGGATTGAAAGTGTTTCCCATAATTTTCCGATCGAGACGACGACGACGACTATCATTGTGCGATGGCCTTTGCAGTCTACAGCAGCAGACCATGAACTGAGCGAGCGAGGCGGTGCGCGCATATCACAGGCGCGTCTCGCTCGATATGATTGAAGATGTCTGCTCATGTCGTCGCGCTGCTCGCTCGTCCTGCTGCCTCCCAGTCACGATGGCGTCGTAAATTCCTAACGTTTTAACTCTTTCCGTACGTAACTAGCGCGAAGTGCGGCCATGCGCGTCGCGAGACCTTGGACCCAGGAGCGGCAGAGCAGCAGCGGGCGGGTACGTTGTTACGAGGCCACGACAACAGACGAACGACGCATATAACATCGAGCGGAATCTCGGTCTCGTGAGACGGCTCCCCCCCCCACCGCTCTTACTCCTAGTACGACACACGAGTAGCGGGCGAACACATCTCGATTACGTAAGACAAAAATAGTCGAAGAAATTACAAAATCTCTCGCGAGACTCCGTTTGCATTTATTCGACAGTATCACGTGTACGTCTGTCATCAATATCAGATTCATCTACGAGCAAAAGAAATGATATCTTTCGGTGTAATCTATCTTCGATTCTAGCAGATAAAGAAAGTATTTACGCGTTTTTACATAACGCGCATTTAATGACGTTCCCAATATCACAGACGGAGCCCTGCCGCATGCATCAAAGGCTGTGTACGGCAGAGCTTACGAGAGGGAATTTTTTTTTACGATCATAACACAGTAGAGAATTCAGTTCCGCGATAAAGCGAGAGGGGCATTAAAATCTGGAACTAGAAATCACGTAATCGGCTCGCGTATAGCGTTTATTTTAAGCATGCCGACATTATTTTTCTTGATTCATATATTGCAAGCAGTGGGCTTCGGTAGCTGGTCGATGACCCGAGTGAACTGATAGGTGCAGGCGTATTACGCATACGCTCACGGTTGCTCTCCGCCACCTCCAAAAAACATAAGGAACGGCCAAGCACGGTGCGTGTCGAAGGGTTAGCGTGACGTGGCATAACGTTACGTGCATGCTGATGATTGAATTATGAGGTCGTCATGAAACAGATCCGCCTCTCCCAACTATTCACGCATACCACCGAAAGATCTCGTGTTATGCGCGCCTGCGTTATGTGCATGTGCGTGTGTAATAGCGCGCCGTATCGGACACGGACGCCACGCAGCATGGCGAAATGATAATTATTGTACCGTCGATAGAGAGAAAATAGCAAGGCGCTCAGCGCGTGATGTAAGTTACATCACGACGAATTCCCATGCTGTACGAACAGCCGATTGAAAAGCTTCCCATCGCGCCTGATGTTTCTCCCACCCTCCCACCATCCCGCCATCAAAGGTTTCCCAGTCTTTTCAAGCGTTTAAACGAGCGCCGGCGCGGACTCGGTATCGAGTTTCACTAATTGTACTAACAAGCGCCGCGCCCGCTCCGTTGTGCGCTACGATTTCTTCATATTACGATCTCTCGAGACAAAGCAGACGAGCGTTTGCGGCCCGCAGGGCTAATTTGCGGCTAATTTTGCGGAGTCAAATCAGCGCAATTAGCGTCTATATATATAATGCAGCGTTGTCGCACTCTCTTGTGCGCAGGCTCGCTGAGAATTTCGTAACGTCATCGTAGCGCGGTCGGGAGAGAGAACCGCGAAACAGATAGATCGAATTACACGTACACGGCTTATTAGCGACGTCGTGGGTGAGTTTTATGTTCGGATGAGATTGCTCGGAGAATGCCTGTATATTGATGATACATTCGGTGCGTCCGCGTTGGCGCATTCACACGGTGCCCCGCATGCGTATAACGATCAGGGGTGAATAATGACAAATTTGGTATTACTATTCACCACTGGTACTGATGTAATCTCTAGCTAACTGATATTATCGATATATAATTTAATTAATAAACCGCTCAAGTGCTTTGATGTTAATGCATTTTGTAATTGATTACGTTTTTTTGTCAAACCAGTTTGTTTCGCTCACCGATTTACCATTGATCTCCCCTTACCTTTGCGACGTGGGATTTTTTAAACTAGTATATTAAGAATAAAAAATGACTGGTGCAAATGCGATTCTCTTGGCTAGTTTTTTGGCTAGTTTTTTTCGCTGCTCAATAGAAACTAGCGTAGTGAATGCCATGTTAATTGTTCGCATTGCTCTCGCTCTAACGCAGTTCATAAAAAAATATTGGGTTGTTTAGCGTG